AGTTATGATTGTGAAGTATATGATTATTTGAGCTTTCATTATTTACTTGAATCTTTTATATTATGTTCATTTAATGAAGGTTGTTTGATCTTTAAGGATTAACATTTAATAGGTGTCTCACTCCTAATTATATTAGGGTGAAAAGATTTAAAAGTAGTTCACTAACGCCAGTCCCCCGCCCCAGTGAAAGTTTAAAGGAAGAGCGAGTTTGCTCTTAAGGAACATGTGGATGAATCACTTAGACATCACATGAAGTTTAAAGGAAGAGTATGATATACTCTTAAGATTTATGGGGTAGAATCGATTACTCCCATAAACAGGTTTAAGGAAAGGCCTATGTTGGCCCTCATACGTATGAGCTGGGCGGCTGGACTAGTTAGTGAGGGGATCCCAGTGTCAGTCAAAGGTTTAAGATTTTTGAGGGTGGCGAGTAACAACAACTCCCACGTTTTTAAGGGTTAAAGTTTAAAGGGTGGAAGTATAAATAACTTCCACGGGTTTTTGAGGTGAACACTTAAGGGAATACCCGTAAGTGCTTCAAGTTTAAGTAATGGCGTAGACTGACCCCAACCCACTCACCAGGTCGTAGAGGAGGGGCTAGGGAGCATCCAGTCGAGGAGCATCCAGTGAGAGAGCAGGCTACCCGAGGAGGACCACGTGAGCACTTCTGAAGATGTCTGACCACGGATCGGAGTAAGCCGCATTTGTATCTTTAGTTATTTGATTTATGATTATGAGTAATGACTGGAGATTTAAAAGGATAAGACTTTATGGATTGAGGTTTGCCCAAATGTTAGGGCTTTGCTTTTAAATTATAAGGTGTATTTTCAGTATTGGTATTTCGAGCACATTATTGTTTCTTTCTTTCAAAATTTTAAATATGCTCCGGAGCAAAATTGTTATTTAAGTGTTTTAGAAATCGGGATGTGACACCCTCCTTCCCCCCATGCCAAAGAAAATTCGAGCAAACGGTATACACTTTCTTTAGTACCTTCTTAGGCAAGAGAAGCCACCACCACAAATTCTCTGGGCATGTGTTTGAAAAATGTGCATAGGTGGTGGTTTTCTTAAGAAATGAAAAAAATGAAAGAAAAACAAAGAAAAAATGAATGAAAGCAAAAGAGAACCACCACCACAAATCTGAATAGTGCCCATTAAGTAGTGTTTCTTAGCAGTCTGGCTTGGAAATACTAACAGTATTGTGACCTCCTTCGCTCTTGTGCTCTAAAAGAATTTGAGTAATGCAGAATGGCAGAAAGAAAGTAAGTGGTTTGATTGATTGTGATTGTGTTGGGTTTGGAATTGTGGAACCTTGTGCTATGAATACTTCCACCACTTAAAAGGCCTTTTCCCCATGTCCAAGACCCTAGCCAGTCATTTGAACCTGTGTCTAAGACCTCCTGATTAGTTAGTGATGAAACCCATTTATGTGAACTCTAACATTTAGAGGCTGCCGTCATGGTGAAGAGACGTTAGAGATTGAGAGAATAAGCATGCGCATTTTTCGCATCAAATTGTCCTGACCCCACTGGTCGAGAGTGAGCGATTCATTTTATCATATTCTCTATACTCTTTTACCCCGGTGAGGACCTAGACTGCTCGGTCTCAATTCTGATATCTTGAGTTTTGTGCATGAGGTGACTGTCTTGAGTAAGTGGTTGATTCAAGTCTATGTTGGTTGATGAACGGAAGGGAGACTCCTCCTTTACTCGATTTTGCTGCACTCGAATGTCTTCTGTGGTGGTTGTCCAGGTTGATATTGAAGTTGTTCATGTGTTGATGTTTGAAAGCCAGTATGATTCACGTGTTCTGTGCCTCTATGATTTGTCCCCAATGTTGGTATGATTGAAATATGTGAGCTTACCTTGTATCTGACTTGGTTTGCTTGGGGACAAGCAAACGAGTAAGTGTGGGGGAATTTGATGACTTGATATATACACATGTTTTTGTCCACCATTCTTATACCGTTTGAGTCTTATTTCTCGTGTTTTAGGCCGATTTCACGCTAGGTTGTTCTTGTTTCTGAGATTTCAAGTCCTAGTACGTGAATGAAAGTTTGGGGACGAGTTCGGGGTCAATTGGACGAAGATCGGACGTTTGGCGAGAAGCTGAGGAAGCCACACGGGCACGACTAAAAACCCACACGGTAGTGTGACCTGACCGTGTGACATCAAATTGCACGGGCGAGCCACACTGTCCGTGTAAGGGAACCCATGTGGCCGTGTGAAGGCTCGGTGAATTCCACACTGGCATCCTGGAAATTCCACACGGCCGTGTGGTTTTGGCCGTGTAGCTTGCCTGAAGTCCACTTATCGAAACGCCGCGTTTTGCACACTCACACGGGCAGCTGGGAATGCCACACGGCCGTGTGGCCTGTCCGTGTGGTCGGAAAATCTGAGTTTTAACCCAATTTCGAGCCAATGGAGAGGGGGGTCGACTTTTTGGAGCAAAAACAGAGTTTTAGAGAGAGAAAGTGCGAAGAACAAACCCTAGGAGCTATTTGGAGTGGATTTCTCACCATTGAAGCACAGACTGCATCCCCAGGAGTGAAGATTGACATCCCAGAGCAGATTCTTCCCATTGTTATGAGTATGACTGATTTGTATCCTGTTTCCCTCTCTCTCTCTATGGAGTAGAACTTTCTCTCACTTGGGTATGAAGAACCCTAGTTCCATGTGTTAAGAATCTTGATTGTAATGACTTGGGATTGTTATACTGTTTGGTTTTGATCGAATGATGCATGATTCATTGAATCAATTGAAATCTGATCAGCTTTTCTTGATTTCTGCTGCAACCTGAGATAGATAGAATCTGATTAGGTTGTTAGAGCTTCTTCATTCGTTAGTAGTAGATTGGTTATACGAGAGTTAGTCAATCTACTGCTTTGTACTGGAATCCAATTCCAGTAGTGGAGTTCTGTGTTCATAGCCTCAGGTTTCTATCCCGGTGACTCTTCCTTTGCTTTAGAAAACCGAACAGTTTCCTGCTTTCTTACGCTTTTACTTAAATCAACAATCACTTGACTTAGTTGGCTAGATAATAGATATTCACAGAGTAGGCAGTAGATCTAGACCCCGGTTTGATAAATAGAACTTACCACTATTCTGCATTTCCGGACTGTGATTACACTTGGTCGCAGGTTGGTGTTGTGTTTTAGCATGTCAACGAGCTTAACACAGTATTGGATCTTAGTATTTCTTCTCCCAAAATGAAGGAGGGCTAGGCATTCGTGATTTATATTCATGGAATGTGGCTTGTATTTCTCGGCATATCTAGGCTATCTTATTACATGAATGATCTATTTGGATTGTGTGTCTTTGAAAATACAAACTTAGGCATCACTCTCCTTGGCAGTTCCCTGGAACTTCAGGTTCTTGGTGTTGGCAGAGATTGTTAAAGCTTCGAGGGAAAGTACACTAATTTTTCTCAGTTATGGGGGGACAAGTATTTTGGCAAAGTGAAGTGATACATAAGTTCTTAGTTAGAAAGGTCTGGAACTCAATTAGACATAAACTCCCCACATCGATATGGCTGCTTTGGTTAGGAAAGGGACTAGGATTCCTCGCAATAAGTTTCTCTTGTGGTTGTTTGTGAAATAAAGAATTCATACAAGAGATAGAATTGCTACTTGGTGGTATGGTGGCCCCTTGAATTGTGTTCTATGTGATCAAGTTGCTGAATCTATCGATCATCTCTTTGTAGCTTGTAAAGTTTATTAGGAGCTTTATGCGCAGCTTCTTGGACCCTTCTTCTCCTGACTTTTTTACTCTTCTTGGAAGTAGGAGGTACGCTGGGCAGAGAGGGTGTTTACACATTCTTCTCCACTCACGTATGATGTGAAAATGATCTGGAGTCCATTCTTAGCCATCTCTAGAGAGAGCGATGCCGACGTTTCTATGCGGGAGAAAGGTGGAAGTTGAAGTGTTAAGCAAAGTATTTAGGAATGAGGTTAGAGTTTCAATTGATGAGCAAGTGACAGGGTCATACTGGTGATGCTTTGTTAGCTTTGATTTGGGGTTAGTACACAATTTTCTTTTCTTATTGTATAGCTCCTAGTTGACAAGGTTGTTGTCAACAATCCTTTTTTGATGATTTAACATAAACCGATTCATAAAAAAATTACTATCCATTGTCTCATTTATTAAGTATTCATTATCAATATTGAAATTGTGTTGATTTTATATTTCGTATTTATTTTTTAAAATTGTTAAAGAACATAATGTTCAGGTGACCTTCATGTTTCAATTTTTGTAATTTTATTAAAATACATAATTTCAATTGAGTTTCAAATTTCTTAAATTCCCTATAGGGAATGAAAAAATAATTTTATCTAGGTTTAGAATGAAAAACTTCATTGTGAAAGACAATGTATTATACAAAACAATAATTATTCAAGTGGATCGGGTGGGGTTTGGGTTGAGTCGATTGGGCCACGGGTTCGTCACATTCAGGCCAATCGAGTTTGGGTTAATTAGGTTACGGGTTTGATCGGGTTGTGGGTCAATCGGATTGCTGGTCGTGCGGGTAGAAACAATGAAAGAATGGAGGAGGGTTGGAGATTACTGGAGTTGCGGCGGTGGCGGAGGAAGTGCTTTATCAGGGAGATCTGGTCAAAGGGAAAAGCAATCAAATTACTGTCTCACAGAAGAAAGACAACTATAGGGGAGAGAGATTCATTGATACCATACACACATGTCTTCCCTATGACAACAACATCCCAAAAAATATGCATGAAAGGCCTAAATTTGGGAGTACATAAACATTAAGATGGGGAGGGAGAACAATGATAGTACGCTGTTGGACTTGGTTGTGGTCTTGAGGAGGAGGGGGATGTGAAGAGAGGAATTAGTAGGGTCATGATGATTCTAGCCTCCATCTAAATGCAACAATGGCAATTGATCTAATTCCCCCAAATAATACGCTACTCTCCCTGCCGCCGCTTATTTGTTCCTGCTCATTGATTAAAAACCCACACACAATAGATGGTATGTTTTTTTTTTACAAAAGATAATCTTATATTGATGTGAAAAAAGATAATTACTTCCTGGAATTCAGCCAGGCCTGATAATCAAAGAAACGACTCATGATCGGGTTCAAAGAGAGGGCTTTCCTAGCCACCAGATGGGCTACCCTATTACTACGCCGACCTACAAATCGAATCCTCAAACCAGTATGGATGCGAAAATAATGCAGGACCTCTTCCAGAACATCACCCACCCGATTATCTCTGGCCTCCCCTTGATTGATTTTATCAATGATCACCTTCGCATCACCTTCAAATTGGACATTGGTGAAGCCATTACCCAGACACCATAAAAATGCCTCCCTAAGAACCAGTAACTCCACTGCCATCGGATCTTCCAAAAGATGAAACTGGACGCCCTTAACCAGCAGTAGCTCTCTATCAGTGGATAACAGAACAATTCCACCAGCCAAATGCGAACCTGGCCGAACCGCCCCACCCCACATACATACAACCCCCCTAGGCACGTCCAGCCCCATATTGTCCCCCAAAAGTACCGAGGGCTGAGGCGCCTTTTCCACCGGAAGTCCAACCCATTCCTCATACTGCTGATGAAATTGACACATCAAGGCAGGGAACCCAAACTGCTTTCCCTCAAAAACCACCCAGTTACGGGAACACCAAATTCGCCAAAGGACAGCAACCACCGCCATGAACAACTGGGGTTGGTGAACCAAGGCCAAGAGTTTCTTGAGAAACAATGGGAATTTGTGCCGAGGCAACCCCTTCCCTACATACTCCAGTCCTGAGTAGTCCCACAGAGCTCGCGCCACTGGGCAGTACAGAAATAGATGTTCCATTGTCTCCAGACTCTCCCAGCAAACCGGGCATCGAGGGAGCACAGGTACTTGCTTACTAATAAGGGCTTCAGTAGTTGGCAGGATGCGATTAAGAATCTGCCAGACAAAAACCTTTAGCTTTGGAGGGATGTTTGCTTCCCATAAACGGATCTAGCTCGCCTTATCCATCCAACTAACCGTGGCCTTCCAGCCATCTCCCCGCTTGTCTAAAGCAACTGCTAGATGGCAGGCCGATTTGACAGAGAATACCCCATCCGTCGTATCATGCCAAATTAACTTGTCCTCCATATTCTGACGAGGAAGAGGGATCGCCTTTATGGCCCGACAAGAGGGAGGATCAAACCACTGACTCAGCTTTTGGTCATTCCACCGCCCCTCCCCCTAACAAATTAGATCAGCCACAAGTGGATCACCACCCTCCGGAATGATCATAGGATTAACCACCGGAGGATCAAGCTGTAGTTGCGGGATCCAATTGGAGTGCAGCAAAGAGGCAGATTTCCCATTACCAATTTGCCACCTCAATCCCTTCTCTAGTAACTGACGCCCAAATAGAATACTCTGCCACACCCAAGAGGGACGAGAGCGGGCCGTCGCTTTCAAGAATGTTCCCCTTGGGAAATATTTTCCTTTGTATACCTGAGCGAAAAGGGAGTGCGGTTCAGTAAGGATGCGCCAGCCAATTTTGGCTAGGAGTGCCTGATTAAATTGTTCAAACCGCCGAAATCCCATCCCACCATCGTGCTTGCTTCTGCACATTTTCCGCCAGGACATCCAGCGAACCGTAGGATGGCCCTCCACCTCACCCCACCAGAATCGCGCCACAAGCTTATCCAGAAGACGACAGAGGGAGACAGGAAGCTTAAAACAGGACATAATGTGCAGAGGCAATGCCAGGGCAATCGATTTGATCAGCGTTTCCTTCGCCGCCCAAGATAGCGTCAGTTATGGATAGCGTTTTCTTACTCAAGGTATGCCGTAGAACTCCCCCCCCCCCAATACATATATTACTATCTTTTTTTAGTAACCAGTTATACTCGCCTGACAATCTTACTCATAAGATAATGATCTATATATTCTCGGTTACCTTTAAGAGTATAGTTCAAAATGACTTATTGTCCCTCCCATTGACCATGGCAGCACATGGAGTATTCAGTTTTCTGTCACCCATCTCTCAGGCCTTACTGGCTTAACTTAACTGTCAAGATATATCCGATATGCTATATCTTATTCGTCAAATAAACATCCATTCATCACCACATGCCATATCACATTCATCATCTCAAACTCAAAGAATTCATTCATCACAACATAAGGACCGTGAAGAAGAGAAGTTGACCGTGAATCGCGAGGCGTCCAGAGCCAATGTGAAGGTTACTGACGCAAGGTGAGTTCACAGTCACTAAGACCGTGAACACAGGCAATTGACTGTGAACGGACATGAGCGATGCAGCGCGTTTTGGCGCACGCCTGGAGTTCATGGACACGTTTCATGGTTCACGGCCGTGAACTCAGCTCATCTCGGGTTTAAAAGATGAGCTGAAAGGAGGAGAGAGCGGAGAGCCCACTTTTGTGTGAAACACCTTCTTTAGCATTGTAGTGAGAGAAATAGAACCAAAGGGAAGAAGAAGGTTAGGGTTTGACTTCAAGGAAGATTTTGGGAAGATTTTTCCCAAGGAAAGCTCAACTCAAGGGTCAAGGAGACTGGGAGCATCCTCAAAGATGGTTTCCACATTTTTCCCTTTTGTTTTTCTCACTTCTAGCATGGAGTAGACCTCCTTTCACTTGGGTGTAGTGAAACCCTAACTCTACCATGTAGTTTTCTTGTATGTATTTTGGATGATTGTCATTGGGTATTGTTCAATTCAATGATTGAGGCATTATTTATGATGATTGTGCATACTTGTGCATAGCAATCTAGGGGTTGTGCATGTTTTGTGCTTAGCATCCTTAGGTTTGTGCATTTAGGTACTTAGAAACCTAAGGATTGTGCATAATTGTGCTTAACACCCCTAGGTTTGTGCATTTAGGTGCTAGTAATCTAATTTGCCGCCTTAGCCTAGCTTAGAGAGGAAAATCCCCCTTTCAAGGGAGACTCAATCGAGTTGGTTTTCCTTCCTCTTTATAAGCCACCTAAACTAGGTTAAGTTAGGGAGACCCTCAATATTGAGTTAAGCAAGTCGATAAATCGTGATTAAACCGTCCGACCTTAGAGTTGAGTGAGGGAGTAAGTCAATTATCGATTGTCTAAACCGAGAGGGTCAAGTGACACGGCCTTTCATCCTTACCTCAGTTTAGCAATTGAGACTATGGTCTCCGACCACATATGCATTCCTCTGCGGTTCACGATTAACGTGACCAAGGCAATCGTTCCAATCTACATAGCATGGTAGCGGTTAGGGGGAAGCGACACCTGAGTGACTTTCCCACAAAAGAGTTTTCAAACCCAATCACCTTTGCTTTCTTTTATTTCAATTTGAAAACATTTAAACCAAAGTTTTGTTTCTAGATAATGATTTCAACAACTGAAGTAGGGATAGACGGACCATCCCGGGTTGATATCTAAATACTTGCCCTATACTGCACCTGATTAGAGTTTAAAAACTTGGGGCTCTAATTGGGGTTTCATTGTGGTGTAGTTTCGTGCTAGTCAAGGACTATCACCCAGTCTCTTGATAACTCAATGTTTAAACATGTATGTATCAGATATCACATCATACTGGCATTACCATGTAACCCCAGTCCCAACATAGCAAAACATCATATCATCCAATCTTAAATCATTGTACAAAACACCATAGAAAACCATCATCATTGACATGCACATTTCATATATCATATCATAAAAATTCATCACTTAACCACATCATAAGTAATATTTATACAAGGATTCAATCACATGCATGGTTAGGTTCATTGCATTTTACATCTTAATTTGCTAAGTCATACATTCCTTGGGTAGTATTGTAGATGTCATGCATACCACCACATATCGTACCTAGACTGGTGTCCTATAAATCCATTGCGGGTCATACCCTAACCAATGTCATGTATACCAGGGTGGGATGTACGCGGACTGGTGTCCTATAAAACCAATGTAGGATCATATCATGACGATGTCCTGTAAATTCAGTTACTATACTGACTGCACAACAGAGCGCCTTTATGTTTATATTAAGTTATCACACAATTCCAATTACAGTCAGTCACATATTTAATATTGGATGATAATGTGAAGTGAAGACAAAGTGTCTCAATAACTAACATTTGCTTTGATATCATTCGTACAATGTTGAAGGTAAGAAGCATAGAGAATAGTTTGGTTGTACTTTGATATAATGGTGGAAAAGGCTAGCGTACACTCGATGTGTAATATGCACCTTCATTCATACCTATTAGTCGTATGTTAATATATTTTGACAAATAAGAATCGGTGGTTATTATTTTTCATTAAATGAATCGTACGATTTGGATTAGAGAATTAGAGACTGTGTTTCACCTATTAGAGAATATGGTATAGCATCATGTGCCAAACTCTGTTAATACATGGTCTAAATACCAACTCTATAGGAGTACGGTAAGGTGGCATACACGAGCTTAAACCATGCACAACTTATGAAGTTGACAATTTTTGGTCAATCAAAGATCCGATGGTCATGAATAATATTTTCCAAGCGGTGATGAAGTTACAGCGTTGTTTGACTTTATTGTTGATCATCATTAAAAATAGTAAATGTAGCAGCCCTCATATCAGATAAGCCAGTGATAAGAGGTATGAATATGAAAATTAGGAATCTGATACCATTGGAAAAAATAACACATAATAGAAAGAAATGTACAACAAATGACACTCGCCCTCCATCGGGCGGGCACAAAACTAGTTTAGAAATATGGGCTTAATATTTTTTGAAGCCCCCAGCGGAGCGCAACCTCAACATCTTGTATTATTAATGCTTTGCTATAGAATCTTCTGATTTTACAACCAGAGTCAATGAACTCAATAGACATTGAGTTAGAAGAATGCTTTATGCTATCCTTTTTTATGACAAAATATTGTAACGAATCAACGTATAAAAAGGGAAAGCAAAGCATAAATTTTATATGCTTTAAGGATTTTTTTTGTCATATGACTTATGGTCAAGCGTTCCTTGAGAGGATAAAAGATGCTACCAAAGAAATACGTGCAGAACGAATGGAGAAGGGAGGAAGAGATGGTAACAGAAAGAAATTTGACTTTGATGAAGAGGAGGAAGACCATGATGACTCTTCAAATTGCTACCAGAGCATAGACGATTTATTAAAGACCACAAGTTGAAGGTGAAAGTATAATCATATGGCAGTGAAGATATTAGTATTACTATCATTAGTGCTAATTTGTTTTATTTATATGATTGACAGAGTGAAACAACGTTTGGTAGCAATGGTTCCTCTCCTAAGTACAAGAAACCTCGATATGAAAGTGACTTCTAAACCACTCCACAAAAGGATCATTTAGCAAGAAAAGGATTATTTAGTGTTGATAGCGACGAAGATGAATCTAAGAGTCCTTTCGAAAAGCACGCAGTAAGTTTATGTTACATATTGATCTATTAAATTGGAAATGTGTATTTGTTTTCATATAAATATCATCAACCCCACCCAACACAAAATATCTAATTGTTCTACACCATAAAAATATTTTATAACTAATTAAAATTTCAAACAAATAAACCGAGGTGAAAGGTATCAAAATTCACAAATGTTGTTTGAATTTTAATAAAATGCGATTTACTTCAACATATGTCTAGTTTTTTCACGATATTTTTGAAATAGGCTAAAAAAGTTATAAATGAACGCATCCATAATACGTTATTCTATTAAAATTATACACAAGAAAAAGAATTACGTGAATCATATCTATATAAAATTTATGTCTAAACTTTAAGCCAAAGAATACATTAGATTAGGGAGACCATGAGAGAAAAACATCGTGAAATATCTTAATTTTCTCATAAGTATGGCTATATACGACATAAATATTTTGTGGATACGAACTCATACCAATAGTTGAAGCATGGGTTGGGTCGGGTTCTACGGGTTGTGTAATCCAAAATCCAAACCCAACCCAAAAGAGGCGGGTTGTACAAAAAAGAACCCTCACCCAATCCAAAACCTTCGTTTTAGCGATAAATACGGGTAGGTTGGGTCAGTTTGAGGGTGGTTTTGCTCACCCCTACCTTTAGGGGTAGTCATGTTATCTCATCTTGTATTTTTTTTTTTATTTCAATGAAACTTTACACTTTTAGTCTTTTACGTGTAAGGCTTTTAGGTTTCATTGTTTATTTTATTCTTTTCAAATGAAAATTATTGGGGCTTGAATTTTTAGTCTAAATTTAGAATAGTGGGGCTTATCAAATAACATTGGAATGACTTTTAAATATTACCGGACCGGACACCTAAAATCGAAAAATTCATACGTACTATACTAGCTCTAGATCAGAGGAGGGTTGGGTCGTGACCCGGGATGGCTCAGCCCTAGATCCGCCACTGGTAACGGATATGCAATATCTGTCCCCAAACCGACTTGTTGCCATCCCTACATGTTCATTAAATGCCTAGATTCAAGAAAAAAATGATTTTTTCTGTTCTTTATCGTAAATTTTACCTTTAGATAATCATAGAGATTCTATATCTTGATTTATCTCTTTTTTTATCCCACCAAATACCCTTATTAATTAATGATTAATATTTCTCAAGCCACTCTTCTCCTTTTACCAAACAATTTGCGTAATCGGCTTTTATCTTCATCATTCTAACTTGGATTTTAAAATTTTGTGCGCAAATGTAACGAATTCGTTGTGATCTACAAAATGATATTTATTTTCGATACATTTAGAGAAAAAAATTCATAACACTCGTGGCTACCCGTTACACCTTCATTTTCAACTCAAAAGTTGAATAATTTTGCTCATAAATGACAAGTTTATCGTGATCTATTGGATATATAAATTTATGAAGAAAAAACTTCTAGACTTAATATACCATCTTATACCATCCTAGTATAGGGTGGTAACTAGTGGTAGACGATGATGAAATGTGGTAAATGACAGTTAGTATATTTTCACTGTCATGTATACAACCATTATACAGTCTACACTATGGTATATTCATACCACGTGGTATTGTCTTATATAGGGGTGTAAATTGGGGTGGGTGTGGTTACCCGCCCCACATTTTGCGAGTAACCGCACCCACAAATGTAGAATTATGTTATCCACAACCCCGCCCCGCAGTGGGTAGTGGTTAACCACAACCCGCTGTGGGTTGGTGCGGGTTGGTTGTGTATACCCACAAAAATTTCACATTAAATATAATTGAATTGTAATTAAATAGTGATGTTGTGTTTCTTCTCACACAAAAACAAAAACATGCATAATAGAAAGTTAATAAAGTGTTAAATAAATTATAAATCTTGAATACAATAGGTTTGTTAGTGTAAGTTTAGAAGAGATGGATTTGGAAAGAGATTTGAAGATAACGCAGAGGCAGAGTGACCTATTACCAGACAAACATCGTTGCATGTCATGGCTCCTCCGATGGCAATAATAGCAAAACACAAAAGTGGCTCGATAAGTGGAGGCGCCCGCTTTTAATGATTTGCTTATTCTCCATTCTCGATTATAGACTTGTATTTTTGGTAGTTGGTTGCATGTTGTGTTGTTCGTGAGTTCGTGGAGAAATGGAGATTATTTTGGTATCATACTAACCTTTATTGATTATTACCCTCTTTTAACAAATCGACTAATTTATCTGACTATATCTATAGACTTGATTTTGTTATACAATAAACATATACCACACGGACAATGCTTATTTGATAAAAATATCTCACATGAACATTGCGCATTGACTTGGTTTTGTTTTATAGAATAAGTGCGTATTTGATTTTGGTAGCTACTTTAATTCTTAGTCTTCCAAGTTTCACAAACTAATATAACTAATGTGGTTAATGTGGGTTACAAAGTATTTGAAGAAATAAATATAAGTAATGTGGTTAATGTGGGTTTTGTGGGTAAACTGCTGTGGGTAGTGGTTAACCACTAACCACAAAAATCAATATTTTGCTACCCACACTCAACCCACTATCCACAAAACCTTGCATAACCCGCAAACCAAACTTCCACCCCTAGTCTTATATACATACCAAGTGGTACCACATGGTATAAATAGGTAATAAGAGTTCCAATTGTTTCTTCCAAAATATACAAAAAGGATTTCATTTTGAAGAGCACAATTATATCTGGTTTTTATATCTGGTTTTTGTGTAAATTTTTAAAATTTTGACTTAAAATGAATGATATACAATTCATTAAATTTATTGGGGAAAATTACTAGTCTTTCAAAAATGGTAAGTATAGGGTTATGCAAGGTTTTGCACATAAGTTATGCACGGGATCCGCTCTCAGTACAACTAGTGATGCAGCCGATGAAAACAAAAAAAGAAATGTGAGAGGGATCCAGGTTGGTTATGGATTATATATAATTTTTCTACAATTAAATTTAATAGGTCATAGCTCTTTCATTTTATGTAGAGATATATTGTTTTGTTTTGATATATTTTGGAACAAGAACGATTGACACTTATATATCCTGTGGTATAATTTACGTGAGACCATATGTCCAAATGTTGGGCTGGCCAAACGTGGCCCTTGATGGATTTTTTTTATTTGTAAGATTGATGAGCTCACAAAAATAACATGCACCTGATTCTCTCTCCTTCATTTCAATGGACTCCTCATCTCTCCTCCTTTCCACCTACCCATCTTCTCTCCTCCATACGAAAATCCAATCTGCCATACCTTCTTTCCTCCTTCAGGCAGCTCCCTCTTCTCTCCTCCATTCCAATCGAAGAAATAACAACGGCAGTGGCACACATGCGAACAACGACAGATTTCCCCTCTCTTATGAGGCACCATTGATTGCTGGATTAGGTGAGTCAACAACCCGATTTCCCATCTCCCTTACCCCCTGAACCCGTTGAATGGCACGCCGGTGGGAGATGGCGGCGATGCCAGATTTCATATCTCTCCCAGAGGGCACCATTGATTGTTGGATTATGTGAACCAGCAACTCTCTCTCCTTCTTCACCTTTTCCCCTGCCCTTTTTGTTTCTGTTTCCATTCTTATCCGCTGTAATCCAGTTATAATTAGGAATTTTATTTATAGCTTTTCAAAGCTATTCATCCCAACAATTTTGCCTTCCCTCTAGCTCATCAAACACCACACCTTTCCTCCTCCTTCCATATCATCCGCCTCTGTTTAACAAACCCTCCACCAACGTAGCCTCCTCCTTCCCCAACCCTGGGATTGATGAGGACTCATGTTACTCATATCCATTGTTGGCCAGATATAGCTCTCTGCAAAATCGAAGGCGCCATAGAGGAGTTGGGCCCCATTACAGAAGTCAACTGTCGAGGGTTAGAGGAGGGGAAGGCAGAGCTCTCCATGGACACTAAGCATTAGTAATCTTCTTAGAAGTATTCATGCTTTTATCCTAGATCCATCTCAAGCTGCAATTGATTACCGTGAAACAAACTTAGTACAATTGACTGGTAATCTTACTTCTCCTTTAAATGATTTCTTCTATAGATGGGTTGTTAATTTCCAATGGGATGTTAATTAGATAATAAATACTGCTGCTCTATTATGGGTTGGTAATTTCGATGGGATTCTTATTCTTTTCATCATTCCTTTTAATTCCTTTGGTTCGCATAATCACTGCCTGTGCAAAGAATTAGAGATATTTAAGTTTGACCTTCTCCATGAATTAGGAATTGCTTGTGTTTTCCTGCTATCCCCCCTGTTTATTGGGTCAATACGTGTGGCGTTAGCATCTTATAATTGTATGGTTTGTTGTTGCCTTTCCTATTTGCCAACTCTTCCATATCCAGGGCATTGGTTCCTTTCTTCAAAATGGCCTAAAAATCTTTTTTCTCATAATCAACATCCTTGCATCTCAGTTCAAGATTTTGGATAAGCCTTTCCATGATTTGTAGTTCAGCTAGGCCATAGGACATTCATTATATTCTCAAGACTGTTATGAATTGAATGAATGGCAAAGAGAGTTGCAGACTGCATAGTTGATATATCAAAAGAAATAGATATTCTGTAAGTCATCTGATGATCACAAACTTATGGTTAGTATATATGAAGGGAATCTATTTCTTTTGTTCCCCATTTCTCAATCGTTTGCATTAGTTTTGACATGGTACTACTGCAGTGATTTCTTGCTCTTTCGTAATGGTCTCTCAGTTGGTTCATGTTAGCTATTAGGATACTGTATACCAAGTCAAGAATATATGGTTCTTTATATGTGGACTTTGGTTTGTGATAATGGCTCAAGGTTGAAGTAATAGGCAAGTCTTTTGTTGTTTTCCTTGGCTCAAAGTTTAACTCTTTTTCATTAGGTGTCTTATATATATGCTTTTTATAGGATAAATTACACGTTTGGTCACTCAAATTATACAAATCTTTCACGTTTGCCACCCGAATTACTTTTCTTTCTTATTCGCCACTAACTTTAAGAATCGTTTCACGATTGGTCACCGGCCGTTACACTCCGTTAAATTTGTCCTATGTGGCAGTCAACTATAAAGTTTGACCGTTAACTAGATGACGTGAAAATTAAAAAAATAAAAAATAAATAAATTTTCTTTCCACCTCATCATTGCACTTATTTTTTCCATTGATTTGTACATCACCTTCCCACTTCCTGCCCCCAAGAGCTCCCTATATCTATCCCATCCGTCTCCTCCATTCACCTCCAACGCTTCACAGCTCATTTCCCTTCTTTTCTTTCCCTCTTTCCCCACGAAACCCTAGATTCAGAAACTTCTCTCTGAAATCGAAACTTCGCAAGCATACTTGATCAAAACCCACAAATCAAGCTAACACAATCGAAGATCGAACAAAAAATAACTGCCAGAATCTCCCCATCGATATGACGAGTTGCGGATTGACGATGCCAGGAACTGACGCCGCTCTCTTCGGCGCCTCACCTTCCTCCACTAGATTACCCGACCCGGTTCTCCGGGTCAGGCCTTCTCTGGGTCGCCCGTCAATGGTGTCCTTCAGGACCAGAGTTCAGAGCCACCACCATGAACGGAACCGCCTGTACGGCTGCGGCGGAAATGAGCTTCTACGATCTGCTGGGGATACCAGAGTCAGTGAGCCTGAGAGATATTAAGATGGGGTACAAGCAGCTGGCGAGAAAGTACCACCCGGACGTCTCGCTGCCCGATCGGGTCGAGGAGTACACCCAGAGGTTCATTCGGGTCCAGGAGGCTTACGAGACGCTGTCGGATCCCCGGCAGAGGGCTCTCTACGATCGCGATATGGCCAGAGGGCTTCACCTCGCCTTCTCCGCTAGGAGACGTTCTTCACACCATGACGACGAGATAATTTTGTCTTCCATTCTTTCTCCCCCCGTCTCCTGTTTTTCCATCTCTGGTTTTGGGGAATTTTGGGGTGATTGGGAATTGGGTGAACATACTTCATTTCTCTGTCAAGTCTCTTCGTTTGGTACCGAATTTGGAAGTTTTAGAATTCGTCTGTTATTAATTTACTTTTGGTACCAATTCCCCTGTTCTGTCTACTCTTTCAACAGAAGGTCTAAAGACCTATGCTTTTAGATACCCTTTTGCTTATTCTTGTTGAATGTCCACAAATTTCAAAGGAATTTCGGCTGCTCCGATTTGGGTTTTTGATATTCTGCAGGAAATTGGTGAAAGAGGAGACTGGAGAAATCAGTGACAGTCACTGGGAGAGCTTCGGGAGCCACTTGGAAGCGTATGGAGCCGATGAGGTCGGGTCGGACGCCTTTGGACTTGATGTCGGAGATAGTCTGGTGATTGAACGATGGAGTGGATGGTGACGGTGAGGATGATGAGCATTTGGATTTGCCCATTTTTATAATTTATTAACTTTTATTAAATTATTAATATGATAAATTATATAGACAAAATAAGTGCAATGATGAGGTGGAAAGAATTATTTTTTTAATTTTTTTTAATTTCCACGTCATCTAGTTAACGGTCAAACTTTATAGTTGACTGCCACATAGGACAAACTTAGCGGAGTGTAACGGCCGGTGACCAACCGTGAAACGATTCGTAAAGTTAGTGGCAAGTAAGAAAGAAAAGTAATTCGGGTGGCAAACATGAAAGATTTGTATAATTTGAGTGACCAAACGTGTAATTTAGCCCTTTTTATATGTGGTTGTCTTTTGTTGTTGCTCCATTTACTGTGTATTACTTCATGCAGTCTTGCTGAATGTGACTTATAAAAAAAAGAATCGCGGTTTCGATTCTCTTTTGCTTGCCTTTTAAGACACTACTATATAGCGGCCAAACGAATGAGGGAAATTCATTGCAGCATCAGATGGAAGAGGCATTAGCTGCCGAGCTGGGTGCTCAACCCACACACCAATTTGAGCTCACGCACCTTAAGTGGAACCGAGAGCAATTTAGATAGTTATGGTAGTATTGAAGTTTGTGCTTCGGGCTTAAGGATTATAGGTAAAATGATTTGAATATAGATATCAAGTTCACAATCATCAATTATGAGTGAGCAAATGATTTTACAAATTAAACAAAATCAAACATTTCTAAGAATTACAAATTATGTGGTCAGAGCCATTAATATTGGCCAATTTAAAATCATAACAGAGTGAGATCTAGGATCTATATCGAGTTTTACGTTTCTTTTATACGACACAAATATGAATTATTTAAGAAATCGGGAAGAATAAGCCTTGCATGTAGAAAGACTCCACATGTTTTGATCAACAAAACAAATCGAACAAAAAATATATCCAATAAAAAAATTAAAATCTTGAAATGATAATCTATTATTATGTCATATTCGATTTAAAAAAAATAGATCAAATAATCCGCTGCATAGCGCGGGCTAAATAACTAGTACACATAATTATGGGACACAAAGCCCAAGCAGAAACTGTGTTACACTAATAGACTCTCATATTGGTGGAGGTCTCGCATCATCAATTTGTTAGCGAAAAACAGATGTTAACACAAATTGATGGATTTTGTGAAAAGATGAACGACATGATATTCAGATGCAACATATAATAGTTGAACCATCTTATTACAATTTAGATCACGTATGTAATGAACATGCATCTCAATATACTTCGGATCATAGAGAACCAGATTAGTGACATTCCGAAGTGCATTAGTTTTACCAACAAATAACGACATACGAATGGCACAAGTCACCCAAAAATCTCCTAGTGGCTGGTGCTACCACCCCAGTTTATAGATCACACCGAACTTGGCGTGATATTCTGTTGCTTTAGAAGATTTGTCCACAAGATCCTACTTTTTACATCTCCATGAAATAAAAGAATCCCCAAGTGCTTATTTTTGTATGACATTAATGTAATTTTGAAGTTATTTTTAATTTTAAAATAATAATAATCTTACATCAATAACTGATGGTGATAATGGTTAAGTGGAACTATTAAGGGCAAATGAGCAAATTTGACATTTGATATGGTTCAGTCAATGATTGGACTTAATTTAACGATTTTTGAATGAAAAATCTAACATAAAGATAAGTTTAATATTTTTTGATAATAGAGGTATACATTTGATATGAAAAATAATAGAAGACAAGTTTGAAAAAATATAGTAAATGGATAAAGTATACTATTAAACCTTCTTATTACCAGTTATACTTAAAATAAAGAGGACAAAAAATAAGAAGCAGCAAACTGACTGGCTTCTATTGCACTCCCCCTGTCCCCCACACATCCACATTAGGGGTGGGCATCGGTGCGGTCCAAATCGCTCCGCCCGCTCCAAATCGCTTATGCGGTCAATCCAAACCGCACCATTAAGATTGCGGTTTCATTTGCGGTCTAATAACTAAACGATTCGCGGTTTGGGATACGAGTCGACCGAAACCGTGCGGTTGCAGTTCAAAACCGCTAACCGCTAAATCCTTAATTGGAAGGTCGCCCACCACCACTCAACGAGTCTTCTCAGTTCTTACCACAGGCCACAAGAGCCGATCTATTCTTCCCGGCGGTGGCGCCGACTTACTCAAGAGCAAGCCTTACCGGCAGCGTCAGCGCTGACAGTTTCTCTCTCTACCAGTTCTCACCCTCTGTCTTGACTCACGAGCTTCTCGTCCCTCTCAACGTCCCGTACCACCAAGAGGCGAGAGCTACGGTGCTTTCGCGAACTGTCAACAACACTCCCAGGTCGACGCATTCCGCAGTCGCTACTACGGTCGTCGTTGGTGGCGGTGGAAGCAGTAGTAGCGGTTCGGAAGATTTCCACTTCCAATCCGATATCATCTCCATTCAGGACCGCAAGGACGAGGCGCGATTGGTGGTTTCATTCTCTGTTATAGTAAGCGATTCTAAGATTGTCTAGCTTTTCTCAGATATGCTTTCAATTTGCTACAATTCATCATCTGGGTTTGCTTATTTCCTTCGTGGGAACATTAGGTCGTGCTTCAATTTCTCGAATCTTAGAAAAAAATTCAGCTGCTATCTGCGAGATGTTATGGAGTCGTTGGTTTTCCCCTTCCGATGTCCGATTCTTTAGCTTCTGAAGTGTCTGGCTATGTGAGTAGTTCATAGTTGGATTCAGAGTTAGAGGGGGGAACCATATGTTTTTGGTGCATTTAGGTTTCAGAATCCGTTGTTAGCCTCAGTAGTTTATTGGGTTTGTTAGGGATTTTTTGTTGGAGAAATGTGGTGAAAGATATATGTATATCGAAATGGGGATTTGCTGATGGAGCCAAGTGATTCTCTGTTGTGATTGTTGCTGTTCTTTGAAGCTATATTGACGAAACTTCAAAGCTTGTTCATTCGCCTCTTGCACACTCCAATCTTACTTGAGGCCCCTCATGTTCTTCTGTCGCCTACTTCTGCCCTATCACTTGGTTCGAGTATTCATTATGAAATACTTGGCTTTGCTTGTTCCCTGTTAAAATTTGGAATTTTTAGTGTTTGCATATAAAGGGAGGTCAGATGGGATCCCATTTTCTCGATGGGTAGGAGAAGGGATGCGTGTTTCTAATTAATCATCTGAACTAGCTAGCTAGCGAGAAGGGGTGGTGTTAAGAATTTCATTAAGATGTCTGATATATCCTTATTGGGGTAAGGCTATTAGTCAATTTGTTCAAGAGTGCTAAAGCTGCTGCTAGAGGGTGAGATGGTGGTCACTCGGTTTCTAACTAATTTCTTTCATCTTCTTCAGAGGAGATTGACGATATCGATGAAGGTAAGCTTTCTTACAATAAAAAGCTGTGAAATTCGGTTTTCGTGGGCTGTTTTGCTAAGAAAGCATAGCTAGTTAGTTAAAGTTCAGTGAAGCATGAACTGCCCCTGCTACTGTTGTTTTAAGCCATCTGGATGCTGAAAAAAGCTAATAAGCTTCCTCTGGTGTCTGTAGTAATACTACAGCATAGTTCTACAGATGAATTCAGCTGTGTTTGCCCTATTGAGTTAATAATTGGGGTTCTTGGGGTTTTATCTATGCTTGAGACATGTTTTGAGGTCCGCTATTAGTTTGTAGTTTTAGGTTAGAGGGTTTTCCAGCCTTTCTTTAGTTTCTTACTCTCACCTGTATCGTTTTGCAGAGGAGGAGATTGGTTTTTCTTTTCATTTTCCTTTTCTTTGTAATTCTGGATTCTGCAAAGTTCCATGCCCCAGCCTGCTTTTGAAGCATATATATAATTATTATGGCCACATCCTATGTTTGAATCAAAAGCTTGTTTTCATGATTCTCTTGTTGTGTGCAGGCTACTGCCTACAACTCTGTATGCTCTGTTTTCTGCGGAAGTGGTGGAGTCACGGCCTGGCCAGAGAGCTACATGAGTGTCCTATTTTATTTGATTGTCACTTTATACTTGCTTATATTTGAGTTTCTATCAAATGCTGGTTTTATGTTGACATTTAACAAGGCAATTGAAAGACACTTGGGTTGGTAGATGTGGTAGAGAAATGGAGGTTCTTCCAAATTGCGTACTGTACTAATGAATGAAGTAATATAATTATATGTATAACACTTAATCATTGCAGTCCTATATTGATTCTTACTTCGTATATATAAATGATATTAATGAAGTAATATAAATATATGTATAGCATTCTTCCAAAGGTGATGGCCATAATTGCAGAGGCAAAGCAGAGGCAAAGAATACGTAGTTGTGGGAGCCATTTGCGGTCCAAGTTGCGGTTGCGCTCCAAACCGCTCCAAACCGCTAACATATGCGATTTGGTTTGACCGCACCGATAACATTGCGGTCTAACTTGCGGTGCGGTTCAATTGAATGCGGTGCGATGCGGTTTATATCAATGCGGTGCGGTGCGGTCCGGACCCACCAATGCCCACCCCTAATCCACATTTAAGCCGAGAGCAGATCCCATGACTAAGGGGGGTCTTTAGTCACTTGACTAAGCCCCTCCTAGCCATTAGATCTGGAAACTTCAATCCAATGGTTAAAAAGTGGGAAGGGCTATTTAATTAATGACAGGGGTAGTTTGGGTATTATGAAAAATTACGAAGTATACAAACCGGATTTACAATCAGTACAAACCATACAAACATACGAACAGTACAAACTAGAGCGACAAAACATACAAACAGATTTACAAACATTACAAACGTATGAACTGTACAAACAATACAAACTAGACCGACAAACAATACAAACCATACAAAAAGAAAAAACACCCGGGTTGACTTTGGAGGCTCCATCCCTATATAGAGGGGCTCCTTCCCAAAGTCAACCCGGGTGTTTTTTAGACATACAAACAGTACGAACATGGTGGACAAAAATGACAAACTATACCGACAATCCATACGAACTGAAAAAACACCCGGGTTGACTTTGGAGGCTCCATCCCTATATAGAGGGGCTCCTTCCCAAAGTCAACCCGGGTGTTTTTTAGACATACAAACAGTACGAACATGGTGGACAAAAATGACAAACTATACCGACAATCCATACGAACTGAAAAAACACCCGGGTTGACTTTGGAGGCTCCATCCCTATATAGAGGGGCTCCTTCCCAAAGTCAACCAGGGTGTTTTTTAGACATAAAAAACATTACAAACATGGTTGACAAAAATGATAAACACGATACACAAAAATAACAAAGTTTACAAACATTACAAAAAAAAAAACCGACAAACATTACAAAATAACAAAGCATACAAACATTACAAAAAAAAACCCGACAAACATTACAAAATAACAAAGCGTACAAACATTACAAAATAAACCGACAAACAATACAAAACATACTAACAGTACAAAATCTCTCTCTCTCTCTCTCTCTCTCTCTCTCTCTCTCTCTCTCTCTCTCTCTCTCTCTCTCTCTCTCTCTCTCTCTCTCTCTCGTACATAGTGAGCCACAAATTCCGCCCCCATCCAAGATCCCACGTGGGCCCAACATGTTTTTTTTGTTTTATTTTAATTATTAAATATTGCTTTTCCAGCAAGAAACCGGCTGTAGAAGTTAAGTGCTTCTTTTGGTTTGTATTCTGAAACAGTATGACCAGCGCCCTGCAAGCCATGAAAATCCAACAAGGGTTAGTTTAGATTAACAGAAACTTTCAAGGAAGACGCGTATATGTATGGTTCATTAATTCCCACATAACCTTGATGGTTAAGAAGGTGAGGTTGTTCTCATACCCTTGAGTGTACCTGCAAACATCAACTAAGGCTTTCAGGATTGAACACACAACAGCAGAAACGTGGAGAACAAAGTTTAATGATGGGAAGAAACTGCATATATATTCATACCCAGCAACTTCTCCATTTGAAATCCAAGGTCTCCATTTGTCGAAGATCTTGTATCCCATTGCTCTCGTCCATGCTTCACTCCCAGTGAACGGAACACACATGTCATGATCCCCACTGGGTTTTTTCACCACCAAAACACGGGAACAAGAATCCATCACATTGAACCAAATGCTATGTTCGAAGAACATGAAAAACTCAACCTGGTTTCTTAAGAGTTTGATGCTGAACAGCAGCTGCCATCTGATAAACTACCTGAAAATGAGTGCCCTATAGCCTTTCAAAGTCAGGTTCCTGTGGTACTTCATCATGCTGCCAGCGTCATGGTGGAATTTGATTCTATCAGTACACAGCTCCCAATCCCCAGCTACATTTTTCTGCCATCACCCAAGTAATAGTCACAACTCACATCGATCAAATGGACTGAAAAATGTTACATCTTAAAGCTTATTGAGCATTAAGAGAGTAGAGCATACTGGTTTAGCATTGATTGCTTCCCTAACTGCTTCATTGTTGAGCCATTCGGTAGCAACTTCATCATCCTTACATGGGAAACATATAACACCATCTCACATAAAACCCAAAATACTGCAGGAAAAACAGAGAAGACAAAATGGGGGAAATCACTAACTACTGTTCCTTACAGTGCAAGGAACGGTAAGGCTGCTAAGGAGCTCTGGCCAAGTTGGAACGATTCCTTCTCTTACGTTAGCTCGAAGTGGCCAAGCACGACCAAACATCCTTGTCCGGACAGGAAGAGGTCGTTCTGTTCCACCTAATTCCAAGAAACTGGATGGCAGTCTGATTTTGTTATCTGTTGCATCTTTAGCAGCGCTGTCATGATAGCATGGTTCTAGGATGTCGTATATGTTTAGACCTTTAACTTGCTGTCAAAATAGAACAATCATGTTGAAGATGCAGGAGTTTAATGAGACCAATTCTCAAACTGCTTCTGAATGATAGGTTTGGCTGTTACCCTATCAACTTCTTGTAGTTTCTCCTCACAAGCTATCTCGAGTGGATTATAGAAATTTCCATTGCACTCACGGTTCGTCTCCTGCAGAGCATTTGAACGAACCTATCAGAGTCATGCAAGTCTTTAACGTGCCTTAGAAATTCCAACCCGCTCGTTAAAGTTAATGACAAAGCATCATTTTAAATCCATACTAGCAGCTCATCAAACTTACAAAATGCACAATCCAAAATTTACACCACCAGAATTTCACCCCAAAAGTTTTCATTTCCAAATCCAGGTATGCAACAAATTTTTTGCCACTGGTATGAAATAGAGTACTCGACACACCTGATACAGTTCATCTGAGATAAGGCCCATCCCATGGGCAAACGGAACAAGTGCATTGCCATCAATGCTTTGTCAGTGACCCCATTTCCTACCATATAACCCTGCAAAAAATGAAATGCTTATTCTTTTCTACATCTGTGGCCTTTGAGGGTTTTTACTTTGCAGGATGAAAGAATTCAGTTGGAGCTAAGCCTTGAAAAGAGATGATCTCCATATTTTTGGTACCTTCAGATTGATGACAGGCTTCACACCAGTATCAATTCCTGTGAATAGAACCAAACCCTCGTCTTTGATATATTGTCACAAGATATGGATGGCTTGAACAAGTAGAGAAAAGAAAGACAGTACCTTTTGCAACTTCATTGGCAAGAGTTGGGACGTAAACTCCAGCATATGACTCTCCAGCAATGAAAAAAGGGTTTGAAAGGAATTCCGGGTATAGCTCAAACCACTGAATTGAAGGAATTAGCACATTTTCTATACCATAAGCACACAACAAAGTAATGATCTTCAATACCAGAATTTTCCATTCACTTTGAATACCTTCAAGACGAAGTCATGGGAATCGGTTGCAGTTTTTAGATCACCAGTTACGTATTCAGATATGTCGTTGGCATAAGAAAGCCCAACACCGGCTGGAGAGTCTACGTATAGAACACTTGAAACCTAGAATTCAAAAAGATCACATTTTCAGCAGAAGAGAAAAGAATTCAACTTCAAGCACTGCAAATTATCAACTCTTAACGTTAGGGTCAAAACGGAAAAGTTAAGTAAACTTTGGACCAACTATATGGGTTCAGATGCAACTTGGGTAGACGTTGCTTTGTCTTCTCGAAATCGAAAGGACCTGCACAGTGCATATAGACGTCTCTCTCAAGTCAAGTCTACAGTCAATCTAACAAGCAATCTTCAATCCCATTCGCTTTAGAAACAAAGAACAGACAAAAAAAAAAACGTCCTATCAGAGTTACTTCTTACTGATAAATGTTTCAACTATAATTTTAAATCACTCATATCCAATTGAGATTAACCATACCATGTTCATACACAAATCCATCGAAGCTAGAGCATCCAGGGCCACCATTAAGCCAGAGAACCAGAGGATCCTTGGACGGATTCCCTTCCGATAGGACCAAATAGTACAACAATTTCTTACCTGTGTCTTCATTGATCGTCAATACCTTTGAAAACCCAAACCCAAAATAAAGAAACAGAGAAAACCAGTTACTTCAAATCAGGCCCGGCCCAGACCCTGTGCTGGCCTGACCCACAGCACAGGGCCTCAAGAATAATGGGGCCTCAGCCCAACCCAGCCCATACAATTATATATATATATATATATAAATTGGGAAAATGAACTCTTCCTCCTCTTCCAGCGCCAGCGACTTCTCAACTATCCTTCCCTTTCCCAAAATCATTCCGCAGACATTGCAATCAATTCCACAACTCCCCAAAACCTTCCCAAAACAAATTAATGTACAACTAATTAACTCTTCTATCTTCCTCCAATGACTATTAACGTTCAACAATCAACAATCCAACGTTCAATTCTCCTATTCAGCTCAATCCCCTCCTTAAATAGGCGGGCAAGTAAAGAAAGGAGAAGTAGTCGAAAATCAAACCCTCTCCCATCTTCTTATTTCAATTCTCCTCTGATTGACAGATTCCCCTCCAAATCTCCATTCTCCATTCTCCAGAGTTCAGATCGTCAGATCGACGGAAGCCGAGAAGCATCACGGCAACATAGCCCGCCGCCCCTGTTGCCGACTTCCTTGTCTGTGCCGGCGCCGCTGTGCACAGCTCTCCGCTGTCTCCCTCTTTCCGATCCGCCGCTTCTGTAAGTTCTCCTCTCCTCTCTCCGTCTCTCTCGTCAATTAAACTTAGGGATGTAGACATGGAGGATTGGAGGCCGATGCCAATTGCCCAATCATAATTGGGCCTTAATGGCCATAGCCCATTTCCATTTGAAGGGTGAAGTCGGCTGCCATATTTTGCTTCTAACCTTTTTTTTTTTTTTTGCAGGGAACTTTTGATTGGAAATTCGGATAATTTGATTGGTAAAAAATTTTAATTATGTCAACTAGGAAATTTGAATCAGGTAGTTCTAAGCGTAAAAAGAAACAAAGGATTGCGTTGTTAACACAATCTCAAAAAGGCGCTCTTCATAAATTTTTGGTGAAAGAAACCGCAACTGATGCTAATATTGCTACTCTTGTTGTTGATGATAATGATGTTTTAGATGCTAATGCTAATAGAGAATTTTATTTCAAATAATACTAGACGATTGTTACTTTTCAAATAATGATTGATAATATTATTCTTTTTGTAATCATTTTCCGAACTTATGTATTTTTTATTGTTATTTAATAAATTTTATTTTTAATAAATTTGTGAAGTAAAAATATCTGGGCCACGTTTTAATTTTTCGAACAAGGCCTCCAAATATAATGGGACGACCCTGCTTCAAATCAAACAAGAATACAGACATCAGGACCCTTCTAAGTATCCCATTTCCAGAATTCCAGGAGCCTAAGAAACCAATACAGAGAACATAAAACTAACCGAGACTAACATCAACACTTCAGTCAAGGAGAGCATACCCGGAGTAGTGCTTGGAAGGGAAAGAGCCAGAGAAGCCCGGAAGCTGAGTGACGAGGGCATTTTCTGGAGCAGAGCCACTGGTCTGCGAATTTTTAGGTTGTTCTAGGTTCGGGAGTACAGTTACGTGTGGGGAAGTGTATTCACACCCCACAACGCCCCATAAAGGGTACTACGTAAATCGATAAGTTTTTTAAAAGTCGGGTGAAATATTAATCGGGATTTGTTTGTGTATTTAAGCGCAATATTCGATTATTTTTAATTAGTAAGAATATAAATTGTTTGAGTCCAATTAGAACGAGTATGTGTATGAATAATGAAGCCAAAGTAAATGTGGTATCCAAGTTTTTTTATATTTTGAAATATTTAGAGGCAGACATAATTTGGTTAAAGCAACAATGTTAGCACGATTGGTTGATAAAAATATTGCGTATTAAGCTTAAACGTAAATAAATTCAGATGATGAGATTAGAGTTCTGCGTATGATTGGATGGCTTAGTGGCTAATTGTACTGATTTGAGACGAGTTGTGAGCTCTGGGCCTCCGGTTTTTCGAGACTCAGGGGTCGTTTGGAAGTTGCGAATGTTAAATCGTTGCATTGTAATGAATCACCATAATATAAATACATGTATTGATACAATAGATGTATTTTAACAATACATAGTTTGGTTGTTGAGATTCTATTTTATGCATTGATTTACATAAAGTTTCTTTATGGGGAAATGCCACATTTACCCTTAACTTTTAGAATAAGACAAAAACTATTAAGGATATAAATGGAAAGAAAAAGTTGACACAAATATAAAACCAACAATAACAACAATCTCAACTTTTAGTTGAGATTGTATAATGCATCATTTTTGTGATTGTTGGTGGGACCTACCTAAAACAATGCATGCATTGTTTTACACTTTGACACTTCCAAATATTGTATTGTTCACAATACATGTATTCAACAATCACAACTCTAACAATCACAACTTCCAAACGACCCCACTGGGTAATTAATCGAAAATCACGAGGGTAATTTTGTATTTTTGCGCTCGAGGGTATATTTACCCGTTTGGAGAAACCCTAGCCTCTCCATTCTCATTTCAGCCGCTCACTTCTCTCCTCTCTCTCGTTCTCTCTCGTCCCTGTCTGAAACCAAACGAAAAAAAAGAGCAGAAGAAAGGAGAGGAAATCCATCACATCTCCCTCGCCTCTTCATATTCTAAATTTCCAAACCTTCCTCATCTCGATCCCTCCCGTTCTTCCTCTATGCTGATCTTCCCTCTTCTTCACTCTTCCGTTATGGTAGCGACGAGGAGAAGGGTAGAAAAGAAAGAGGAGAGTGACGACAAGAAGCGACGGTGATTTACGGAGGCCTTGAGGATAGCGGCGGTGGGAAAAGGTAGGAGGTTAATTTTGGCTTGCATGTCGGGTTTGATTTGGTTGTTTCGATTTCTGATTGTATTTTTTGGGTTTCTATTTTTCTCTTCTCTTTTTCTGCGAGGAAAAGAGAAAGGGAAGGGCGAACATAGGAGAAAGTGAGGTCACCGCCGACGAGCACTGGCGATGTCGCCGGCGGCTGATGTGGAGGAGGCAGACCAGACCTGGTGAGTTATTTTCATTTTTGGATTATCTCGTTTGCTTGGTCGACTCTAAATTAACTTCCGTTTTTTGCAGGTTTGAGAACAAGAATAGAATGGCTACTGATCTCAACTATGGTTTGATTTAAATTTAGTGTTGATGATTTGGAGTTTTGATTTAGTCGATTTGATATTTGATTTATGGTCGTGAAAATTTCATTTAGAACTGTGGTGTGGGACTTAGAACCACAAGAAAACACTCAGAATTACGGTTCAAGTTTCGGAATATTTTAAACCGAACAAAGTGGAAAATGAACTTTAAAAGACCATAAACACTGCTATTGCTTGTGGTTACTTTGTCTTTTCGTTGATTTAGTTTAAAATTTGGGTTTTGAGTTCGTGATGGATGAAATATGGGGTTTACTATGGTTAGACATGAGCCCTTAAAACCAAGAGAGCTATTCTAAAATAGATTCATATAATCGAGTCTAATAAGTCTTCGAGTTTGTATTAGCTTATTATTATTAGCCGAATCTACTTTTGCTTATGGCATGAGTTGGGTGTTAGTTTAGCATTTATATATATGGTGAGTACAATAAACAAAATTGAGAAGAGGGAAACAAAGATAAAATTGCAGATCTAACTCTTGCTTGTAATGAGCTTAAGCATGGAAGTATTAAAATGACAAGATGAATTAGGCGTGGGCAACAGCCTTAGATGGAAAGCAATAAATCTGATGTGTTGGTTACTTTGCTAATATGGTGAAGTATGTCATCTTTTTATTTTGCTTGGAGTGGATTCAATATCATTGCTTTTCAGATTATTAGAGTTAGATTGTAATTTAATTGTGATTGATTGAGTTTGGTGTCTTTTTAAATCAATTTGGTCATTTGTAGTTTGATTGGTGGTAGATTGAGATTCCTCTTTTATACAAAATCAGTATGCCAGTGTTTGCTTGGAATTGATTGATTTGTTTTTGAGAAAACCTTAGATAACTAGCCTTAGATCCGGTGATGCAAATGATGATGGTGGAAAGATGAAAAAGATTTAGGATACCCACCTGTTCGTGTAGTTTGGGGGAGGGGATGAAGCTGTTTTCCTCTGTCTTTGCTTGGTTTGACTGCTAGAAACTTATTGCCTCTTGTGGTGGGTCTTTTTGTGTGTAAGAAAATAAGCATAATGTTTGCTGTAGGGTTGCCGCCGCTCTCTGGCTGCTGCTGTCTTTTTCTTTTTTGTTGTTGATGCTTGGTAACAAGAAGAAAACGTGGTATGGAGTCTTCTCTGTCTTTGACTGCTTTTTCGTTAGGATGGTGAGGTTTGTACGAAAAAGAAAGAGAGGAGGTAGAAGAAGGTTCCTCTTCTTTTGTATATTCTGTGAGTATTTGTTAGAGCCGAGGGGATGGAGGGAAGTCCATCTGTTCAGTTGTTTAGCTTAGTTATCTGTCTGTGTGTGTTTAGCAGGGGAAATGGAAGGTGTTGGGGAATGATCAAGAGATGAAGAAGAAGAAGAAGAAGAAGAAGAAGAGGAGGAGAGGGGGTCTGCTCCATGTCCCTTTCCTGGTTTGTGGGTTTTCTTTTTGTTGTCTTTCTTTCTCTCTCTCTTTGTGTAAGAACCGAAGATGAAAAGAGGAAGAGAAAACCTGTTCTTCCCAGGGGAAAAGGAAAGAAGAAGTAGTAGGAAGAGAGGAACCCTCTGTTTTTTTGTTTTCATCTGTCATAAAGAGGGAAATCTCTCTCCCCTTGTATGAGCCATATGGCTCCCTTTTTATAGGAAAAATGGCTACTTGTGCACTAAGTTTTGCTACAGTAGTGGTCTGGATTTGGGTCGGACCAGTTTGGGTTCGATCAGACCTGATTGGGTTGGCTGACTTTGACTTTTGTTGACTGAATTGACCGAAAGTTGACTATGACTTTAGGTCTAATTTATTTTATTGTTTATTTTGTTTGTAAATTTAATGGAATAGCATTGTGATTGTAATTTTTATTTATATTTGATTTAATTCGAATTTAGTTTAATAAGTTGCTTATTTATCTTTTCTTAATTTGAATATTTTTATTGCTTCAAAATCAAAGTACAATCCTCACCCAGTCCAAAATCTTAAGAACCAATTCATCGAAGATCAATTCACAAATTGCCTAATTCGTCAAATCAAAGCAACACAACTCAACTCTCTCACTATCAATTATATTGTTTGAGATTTGCTATTGGTTAATCTCGTCAAGCTAAGGCAAACAAAATCCATCACAGGCACTACAAATATGTTTTAGTTAGAATGTCATTTAGGATTTGCTATTGCAAACTATAGACATAACAGTAAAATTATTTTATTAAATATATGTTCTAACCCGGACAAAAAGTGGTGTCTACACCTACTATCAACTGTCAGCAAAGATTGAATCCGCATTGCAGCAGGAGAAGGAGTCTGAATAAAGTAGTCATTGGAGTAGTCGTTGGCTACTTGATACTGCTGAGTCATTTTGGTTAAAGTCAAGTTCAGTCACTTAGTTTGTGTTTTGAGTCACTTGAGTCATGTCGTACAGTTAGGGTGTTTAATTGCTTTAGAGTCAAGTCAACAATGTTGTTAGCTGTGGTTGTTAGTGTGTTAGCTAAGATCAAGGGAAGTGGGAATCAAGGGGATTAGTTGGTTAGTCATTGCGAAATCACATGACAAACATTCTTGTATTTATATCGTTCCTTGATCGTCAATAAAACTGGCCAGTTGCCCCCTTACAAAAGTTCAAATTGTGGTATTAGAGCTTTGGCTAACTGTAACCATAAAATAGAGAGATTTCAACTTTCATCTGCAAATCAGATTGCAGATCAGGGTTTGGGAAACCAGAGAATTAGAGAGGAAACTGAAACAGGGTGGTGAGTGAGATTTCTAGCTGAAGGCTGAAAAGAAATATGTTGAAAACGAGTGAGAATAGCAGCTTTGCACAGGTGTGCATTCCCAAATTCGATGGTGATTATGACCATTGGAGTCTGCTGATGGAGAATATGTTGCGGTCAAAGGAGTACTGGGGGTGGTTAGTGAAGGATTCAGAGAGCCTTCTGAGGGTGTGACTCTCAATGAAGCTCAAAGCAAAGGTTTGGAGGAGTCAAGGCTAAGGGATCCGAAGGCAAAAAACTACATCTACAGCTCCATCGACAAAACAATCCTGAAGACCATCACAAGGAAAAAGACAGCGAAGGAATTGTGGGATGCAATGAAGGAGAAGTTCCAAGGAAGTGCCAGAGTCCAGAAGGCACAGCTGCAAGCTTTGAGGAGGAACTTCGAGCTTCTTGAGATGAGGGAAGGTGAAGCTATCATTGATTATTTTGGTAGAGTAATGATTATTGCTAACTCTATGAGGAATTGTGGTGAAAATCTGATTGATGTTTAGATTGTAGAGAAGATTCTCATAACCTTAACTGAGAAGTTTAATTATGTGGTATGCTCAATAGAGGAGTCCAAAGATATTGAGCAACTCAGTGTAGATGCACTTTAGATC